AATTGGAAACACAGGGGATCCAGGACAGATGGAACCCTCAGGACCAGTGGTGAGAGGAGATAGCAGGACGGTGGAGGGAAGGTGGGATAGAAGGGGAGAACCGATCACAAGGATCTCCATATAACCCCCACCCTGGGGGACGGACAACAGAAAAGTCAGTCAAAGGAGACGTCAGACAGTGTAAAGCATCACAAAATAATAATAATTTATAAATTATCAAGGGTTCGTGAGGGAGGCAGGGTGGGGAGGGAGGGGAAAATGAGGAGTTGACGCCAAGGGCTCAAGTAGAAAGAAAATGTTCTGAGACTGAATGATGGCAACAAATATAAAAATGCGCTTGACACAAGGGATGTATGTGTGGATTGTGATAAGAGTTGTACGAGCCCCCAATAAAGTGATTTTTTTTTAAAAAGACTTACGGCCTCAGAAACTCACAAGGGCAGTCCTATAGGTTCTATGAGTCAAAATAAGCTTGACGGCACTGAGTTTGGTTTTGCTATTACCAGATTAAGGTGGGATTAAGGTTGACCTTCTCCCTTGAAGCTGCTAGTGGTTTTGAACTGCCAACCAGGGAACATCTCAAAAACCCACACAGGGTTGCTATGAATAAGCATTGACTCTACGGCAGTGAGTGAGAATGTGAAGTCTTGACTTTAGTAGAGGGTGTGAGCCAAGCCCCACCCTTGGTTTCCCTGGGGGCATCTTTAAGGCTTTATTACTAGTGTGTGTGATTTAGGACACCGGTCCTCCATCAAAGCCATACCTCAGTGTCTAAGAGCGATCTGGGACACAGAGAAATCACAGGACCATTTGGAAGAGCACATTCATAATCTCCATCTGAAGTGGCAGAGGCAACAAGAGCAGAGCACCACAGATATGGCATAGAGACTCAGAGGAGCAATGCTGAGACTACAGAGCCCTTCACTCCTCTGGCCCCAAGACTATGGAAATGTGAGACAGCACAAAGGTGGGCCTGCCTCCTGGCCAATAGAAGCAAAGGCCAAGGGACCTTGTGGCTCAGAGGCTGAGGACCAGAGAGAGACTTGGCTGCTGGCTGAGGAGAGGTGTTGCTGTGACCAATGGTTGTATCTTTACTGTTTACTGATCCTGACCCTGTCCTGTGGTAACCTGTTAACTTCCCAAATTAAAAAAAAATAAATCAATCAACAGCTGTCACTGAGTAAATGACAACTCATAAAGACCCCATAGTACAAGGTAGAACTGCCCTGGTAGGTTTCTGAGACTGTACAGGAGTAGAAAGCCAGGACGTTCTCCCTTGGAGTTGCTGGTGGTTTCAAACTGCTAACCTTGCAGTTAACAGCTCAATACATAATCACTAGAAAGGCAAGGCTTTCTACTTCCTTAAAGAGTCACCATCTCCCCCTCCCCAGAAGATTGCACTACAGAGGTCAGCACTGAAGATACAACCTGGGGAAAGTGGCCATCTGCCCAGACAACACAGGAGCAAACTAAGAGGGAGAGAGACAGAGAGAGAACAAAACGCATCCTGACCCACCAAGCCCCAGGACGACATTCCTGCTCAGAGCAGCCAATACTGGTCCAGCCCCGCCATGAGACATGCCATACGCTCGCTGACTCACAGTGCTGCAGGGGACAGCACTGGAGACACAGTGCAGGAACAGTGCCTGGTCTGACTCCCCCACATCGGGACAAAACACAAAGGGAGAGCAACAGAGCAGCAAGGGGAGCAAAGCAATGACGTCCCTGAGGAATCTTGAAAATAGACTTCGGACTCAGAGGGCAGAGCTGGGCCCCTCATCAGAATCAGAACACATACATAAGGGTCAGCAGACAGACCTGGAACTATCTATAGGCCCCCCCTTTTTTTCCTCTTCTTGTTTTCTTTCATGTCTATCTATATAAGATAGGCAAGATAAACAATCCTGAGGAGAAAACAATGGACCAAAAGTTCGGGGGAGGGGGGGGCAGAGGAGAGGAGGATATGGGGGATAGGGAGTGGGGAGCCAACACACCCAGAGATAATAGAATAACTAGAGATCCAAACTCAATGGCACGGAGGGTATAAACGCTGGTGGGGTTTGATCAAGTGCAATACAGCCAAGAGGAATTAATGAGAGCCAAATGTAGGTTGAGCATGATAGTGGGGCAGGAGGAAAATAGAAGAAAGAACTAGAGGTAAAAGACATTCACAGAGGCATAAATATAGGCATGTATATATGTAAATATATTAATATATAAGAATAGGGGTAATCTAGCTGAGAAACAACAAAGCCCATGTGGAAGAAGCACACTAGCCTGTGTAATCATGAGGTGTCAATGGGATCAGGTATCAAGCATCTAAGACCCAGAATAAAATCATACCAATGTGAATGGGAGTGTGTGTATGTGGAGTGGAGACCCAAAGCCCATCTGTAGACAGTTGGGCATCCCCTTAGAGTAGGGTCACAAGGAAGAGACGAGCCAGTCAGGGTGCAGTATAGCACTGACAAAACACAATATTCCTCTAGTTCTTTAATGCCACCCCCCTCCATCATGACCCCAGTTCTACCTTACAAATCTGGCTAGACAAGAGCATGTAGACTGGTACAGATGAGAGTTCTCAGACACACAAAATCCAGGACAGATAAAACCCTCCAGAAAAATAATGTGAGTAGTGATACCATGGGGATAGGGGGAAGGTGGGGGAAAAGGGGAGAAACAGGGAACAGATTGCAATGATTGACCTATATCCACCCTCCAGGGGGATGAACAACAGAAATGTGGTTGAAGGGAAACAGCAGGCAGATA